TTGCTGAAGGGAGGTGACCCCACCTCACTGAACAACTATGGACCAATCTCTAAACTCTGCATTTTAGCCAAGGTTCTAGAAAAACTGATAAACTCTCAAATCAGAAATGACCTGGACTCATTTAACATCTTACCTCCACATCAATCTGGTTTCAGGAAACAACACAGCACAACCACTGCTTCACTGAAGGTTCTTAATGACGTTGTTGAAGCACTGGATGCTAAGGATTATTGTGCTGCACTTTTCTTAGACCTGTCTAAAGATTCTGACACTGTGGATCAGAACATCTTGTGTCATAAACTCTCAGAAACTGGTTTCTCAGAACACACCATTGGTTGGTTCTCTAACTATCTTTCAGACCGGAGGCAATGTGTTCAACATAATGGTACTTCCTCCAGTTATTTAACAGTCAACAATGGTGTACCACAAGGCTCAGTCTTAGGACCCACCCTCTTTACAATCTACATAGGTAATGTAGATCAGAGCATCCCTGATGCATCCTTACATTTCTATGCTGATGATACAGTTGTTTACTGTCGAGCTAAAACAGTTGCTAAGGTTATACAGCTCTTGCAATCTGCTTTTGACAACATCCAGTCTGATTTGTTCAGTCTCATCTTGTTCTAGACGCAAACAAAACCAAAGGGATGCTGTTTTCAAGCAGGAAGTTGATCCCAGTAGTTCTTCCTTTGAATTTATCCTCAAATGGTGCCCCTATTGGGTTTGTCGATTCCTACAAATATTTGGGTATATTGGTCAATTCACATCCTTCTTTTAAGCTCCACGTGGAAAACTTGGTAAAGGAATTGAAAGTTAAATTGGGTTTCTTTTTCAGAAATAGATCCAGTCTTACTTTGAATGCTAGGAAACACCTTGCGACTGTGACTTTCCTTCCCTCCATTAACTATGGTAAAATTATTTACATGAACGCTCCTACAAGCACTCTGCAGATGTTGAACACTGCCTATCATGGCGTGCTAAGATTAATAACTGGCTGTAACTACTGTACATACCATTGCACCCAGTATTCACTGGTTAACTGGACATCATAAACTTCACGCAGACTCTCTCACTGGTACATTTTCATCTTTAAATCACTTATTGGCCTGCTGCCTTCATACATCTCCTCCTACATGTCACTGCATGAATGAAGTTACAGTGTGCACTTTCAGGACTTTATTACCTGCAGTGTTCCCTCAGTGCAGACTGAAATAGACAAAAGGGCCTTCTCCTACTCCGCTCCCGTTTCCTGGAATATCTTGTAAAAAGATCTAAAGCTCTCGACTGAACTCTCTAAGTGGCTTCAAACTTCTGCTAAGTTCATGGGAAAAACCAATGCTGACATGTTCTTGTTTTTAGTTTTCTACACCGTCTTACAACCTAGCTGTTTTTGTTACATTTTTAATACCATTTTATTTTCACTTGTTCTTCTAAATTTGTATGCATCCTTTATGATTGCCTATTGTTGTCGTTGTTGTCCACTGTTGTCATCACTCTTTGTTAAAATCAGGTCTTGAAAATGAGTCCCTGAGGCTCAGTGGGATTAACCTGTATAAATTAAGATTGAATGAATGAATGAATAAGATAATACTTTATTCAATAACTATTTTAGAGAGCATGGTACAATGCCCCCCTCCCCTTTTTTTGTATTGCACTAAGCTAGTGCTATGCAATACAGACACGGTATCTAAGATGCTACAGATGTAGCATGCTGCTTCTCTCACGCATCCTAACACCACCCCCCATTGGCATCAGAAGCATTTATAATGTGGGGGTAGCATACTGGTGGGGGAAGGGGGAGGGGGTCCTCCCTTCAAATAATTCTGAATAAAGTAGATGCAATTTTCTGCATTCAGGTGTATTTTAACAGATTGTTAAACATCTACGTTTACCTAAAGAAGTAAGCACCTGATTCAATAACTATGTTAGCGAGCTCGGCACAACAAGTGGTTTGATATGGGCTGAAACTTGGGCCATCAGACACCGAATTTGAATTGCTGTATTGAAACTGAATTTAATGGTTTGAAACTGAATAATTTTTTCTTTGAAAATTCAGTTTTATAATTAAGTTTCAATTTCAAATTTTTGTTTTTTTGTGTCACACATCCAGGTCCTTCCAGAGTAATCAAATGGAGATTGACAAATTGACGTTGCATGTCAGTAAAACTTCCTTCCTCCATAAAATAAAAACATGCATTAAAATCTGAAATAAATGTGTTTCTCATCTGTCAGGCCTAGTAGAGTAATTTAACATTAGTTCTGTGCCAGTGGGTCACATGACAAAATATATTAATTGTTGTTTCTCAAGAGTTTTTGGTGCAGAAAATTGCCGACGATCCCTAAGCAAACCTTTAAGACTCAGAGAAGGGGCAGACTGAGTGCAGCTGACCAAAATCAGACTGCCTGCATTGGATCAAATGCGAGGAAGACACCGCTGAATCCACGGAGTGCGAATATCCAATGTCCATCATAAAACAAAACTAATTTCACCGTGGTCGTCTTCGTCTGTTTTAAATGTGGAGCGCTCGGCTCTTTTTCTTCTCTGTCAGTAACGTTAACAGCAATGCGACCAGCTACAGTAACAGCTGTCGTTGCGCACAACATACTTGCGCTTTCTACCCGGCTTCTGTAATAACAGTCTACATGCAACATTTTTTTCTCATTCATAAAACTCTAAAATCTGGGACATTTCTGGGGACAGCTTTAGCCAGGGACAGGTCGTCCAAAACAGGGACTGTCCCTGGAAATCGGGAACGTCTAGTCACCCTATTTTATAAGTGTCATTATTAAACCCATTTTTGATGGTTGATGGCTGAATGGATCAGATCTTGGGGATTTTACTCAGTCACGTTCCATCGGTGTGGCCATGTTAATTTGGACATTTCTGAACCGAGTGGACCAACACAGACTCAAGGTAGATGTCATTAAGTTCTGCCTGTCCCCAAAACAACTGTGTTTATCTGAATTTGGCTCTCTTGGCTATCCTTGAAGGTCATCTTATCTGAATTCGCCTGGAGAACATGTGATCTGACGCTCACCACCCCCTCCCTGAGGAATTTCCAACTGATAACCAGATGAACCAGCTGAATAAACTTTGTGTCATCATTTCAGGACTCTTGGATTCTCAGGGGTTATTCTTGGCCATTCCTCGACATACCTTGAGAATGTTTATGGATCTCACCGGAGGACATTGACTGATTATCTTATCAGAACTCTTACAGTGACCTCAAGAGCATCTGTAAGCATTGCTGACCGCTCTCGTCTCCGTTTGCAGAATGTCTACGTCGCTATGTGCTGTTTGTGCGAGGTGTTTTTTTAATATTAGAGGGTTTTTTTCTCGGGCAAGAAAAAAGTCTGATAGGAATTTTTTTCGCTTCCAAGTCCTCCATGTGTCCAGTTAACCGCTGTTTTTGTCTGTCCAAACAGGTCTCACTTGTAAATGAGTCTTCGAGGCTCAATGTGATTTATCTGTTTAAATAAAGGTTGAATGAATGAATGAATCTGCTTGGCTGGCTTTGCCTTGATGCTAATGCTAGCCTGTATACAATGATGAACAAGTGAAGATGTAGTTTCAGCTGTAATGTTTTGTGCTCTTTTGTAAGCGTGCCATTGCTAACAGTTTTGTTAGATTTTCATTGCTTAGCATTGTTGCTAACTGTGTGTGTTTACATGCAGGCTATATCTGTAACAGAGGAGCACTGAGAACAAATAGTTTGGTCAATAAAGCTACTTTTCTATAGAAAATTAATTTTTACTTGATTTTTAAACTTTTTCCTGCTCAGTGAAAGTTTTATTTAGACATCATAAGAGGGAGCCAAAACTTTAGCTAATGTTTGTTTATTTTTGACATATATGAACTGGACATTTGGGGGGAAAAGTTTCACTAGGCATTAAAAACTTGGGTAACACTTTACAATAAGGTACACAAAATTTGCTTAACTACTAGGGAATGCCTAAAGAATGAATCAGGAACAAATCAGGAGCTAATGGGTATTTAACCAGTACTTAGGGAATACACAGCCAAGTCTTATTAGGGGACTACTGGTTAGTTACCTTGTAAATGAAGAGGAACTAATCAAGAACTAATGGGTAGTTACCAAGGAAACCAAAGAGGAACAAATCAGGAGCTAATGGGTAGCTAACCAGTACTTACTGGGGAACACACAGCCAAGCCTTATTAGGGGACTGATTTTATGGGATTTTCTCTTTTGTAAACCTATTGATGAAAGACATGATCAATTTCATAATCTTGTACTGCTGTCATCTTAACTATGTCTGACTATCACTTACTGAGAAACAAATCATTGCCTGGGTGTACTTACTGAGGAACCAATCATTACTTAATCACTACCTAACCATTACCTACTGGTTTGTTCTTGTGTTAACAAACTACTAGTCCCCTAATAAGGCTTGGCTGTATGTTCCCCAGTAAGTACTAGTTAACTACCCATTAGTTCCTGATTTATTCCTGATTTATTCCCTAGTAGTTAACTAAATTTTGTGTACCTTATTGTAAAGTGTTACTAAAGCTTGTTACATCAAAGATCAGTAGTTCAAAGTTAAATCTTTGCGGGGAAAAAAAATCCAACAAAAATCTGAGAGATGCATCATCTTTGAGCTGATTGTCATCTTTTTGTCAAGTTTTCAGACTGATGGCTTCTTGTCTGAAATATGATCATATTTTAGGTCAAACTGTTATTTTGGGCATTTTTCATAGCATCAAATGAAAAACAAAGCAACAAACTGTCTTTGTGACAGGATGCTGCGAACAGAAAAGCTGAAGATTCAGGTGCTTCCTGTTTGATTATGTCCTACTTCCTCCATCTATCAGTTTCACTTCTTTGTCTCCTGCAGGTCAAAAAAGCTCCTCTGACAAGGAAACCTGGTTCCTGTTTGTTTTATTTGGCAGTATGAGATGTCAGATCTCTGACTTTCTTCCACTCTTCCTCATTTTGCTCTCCATGTGTCATGGTCAGAGGTCAAACACAGACAATGGTAGGATGTCTTGCAGTCACTGCGACCTGCATCTCACCTGTAACTGCTCCTATGGTGGATTCACCCATGTTCCTTTGGTAACGGGCAGAGCTTTGAGTCTCGATCTCTCCTTCAATGGCATCACAGTGGTGACGGATGATGACCTGATGGGCCACTCACGACTGAGGGTTCTGGACCTCCATGGTATTTACTGATGGGAGTTTACGACACCACCCTCATGAGACCTCCAATGAAATGTGTTTGAATGTAGACACCTCTGTGTTCCAGATAACAAATTAGCTACAATCCATCCATTGGCGTTCGACTCTCTGTGGAGCCTGGAGGAGCTGGATCTCTCCAACAACCAGCTGACGGTTCTCAACCACACGTGGTTCAAAAAGCTGGAGGCTCTGCAGAGGCTCAACCTGCTCAACAACCCCTACAGGTGAGGAGGTCAGACTGAGTAGAGACAAGCAGAAACATCCATATTCACATCCAGGCTTCTTCTTTCCACTGCTATCCTCCAGCCGTCTGGGTTCACCTCCATTATTTCAAGGACTCATCCGATTGAAGAGGTTGATGTTTGGAGGTTGGGCTCTAAAGGAGCTGAGGAGAGGGGATCTGTGTGGAGTCCCTGAGCTGGAAGAGCTGACTGTGCATGCCAACAACCTGCAGAGGTTTTATCACGTTCATCTTTGATGATCTATTGATATGAACAATAAAACCCAAACCCTGAACTCATTGGTTAATTCTCATCTTTGTCTTTTCTTTGCAGATATGATTCTGGTACTTTGGGGAATATTTGGCCACTGGGTCGTGTAACTTTAAGACTCCACAGTCCATTTTTAACAAATGTGGCCTTGGCGGAGACTGTGCTCAGTGATGTTTCATACCCCGAGACCCCGATAACTCTGAAGGACCTACATCTGGTTGGGAATCAGTCTGTTCAACCCCTCAGAGCCTCCGCCCAGAAGAGGATCAGGTTCAATCACTACAAGTTGTCTTTTTTTTAGCTTTTCTTTTAATATCAGGACAACCAACTTTTCTTTGGGGTTATTCAGGTCTCTTACTTTTCATAACTCATCCATGTCCGATGAGTCGGCTATAGGCTTCCTGGAGGTGATGGATGGAGTTCCTGTATCCTATATTCACCTGGAAGATATGGTGCTGACGGGTGAGGGCAGGTAGGATATCATAACATCTGATGTTCCATCAACAGCCAGTGGCAGAAAGTTAGCGCAACAGTTTACTGCTCATGCCTCTGGATCATTTTTAATAGAGAATAAAAATAACCCTAGGTTTCTGTTTAGTACTATTGCTAGACTAATTAAAAGTCCCATTTCTGTTGATCCATGTATCCCTACAACTATAAGTAGTGATGACTTCATGAGATTCTTTATAAATAAAATTATTTCAATTAGAGAGAAAATTCAAACCGTCCTTCCTTCTACTATCTCTAGTCCCCTGTCAAATGAGGCAACTTTAAAAATTTCACTAGAGCCTGATTTATGTTTGGACAGTTTTTGTCCTGTTGAGCTCTGAATTGTCAAAAATAATAACCTCATCCAAACCAAGACTGTTCTGTGGTCAGATGAGTCACGATTTGAAGTTCTTTATGGAACACTGGGACGCCGTGTCATCCGGACCAGAGAGGACAAGGATAGCCCAAGTTGTTATCAACGCTCCATTCAGAAGCCTGCATCACTGATGGTATGGGGTTGCATGAGCGCTTGTGGCATGGGCAGCTTGCATGTCTGGAAAGGCACCATTAATGCAGAGAACTATGTTCAGGTTCTAGAACAACATGTGCTCCCATCTAGACGTCATCTCTTTCAGGGAAGACCCTGCATTTTTCAACACCATAATGCCAGACCACATTCTGCAGCAATCACAGCATCATGGCTACGTAGGAGAAGGATCCGGGTACTGAAATGGCCAGCCTGCAGTCCAGATCTTTCACCTACAGAGAACATTTGGTGCATCATAAAGAGGAAGGTGGACAAAGAAGGCCCAAGACGATTGAACAGTTAGAGGCCTGTATTAGACATGAATGGGAGAGCATTCCTATTTCTAAACTGGAGAAAGTGGTCTCCTCTGTCCCCAGACGTCTGTTGAGTGTTGGAAGAAGAAGGGGGGATGCCACACAGTGGTAAAAATGGACTTGTCCCAACTTTTTGGGGATTTGTTGATGCCATGAAATTTGGAAACAACAGATTTTTCCCTTAAAATGAAACATTCTCACAGTTTAAACTTTTGATCTGTGATTTGTGTTCTATTCTGAATAAAATATTAGATGTTGGCACTTCCACATCATTGCATTCAGTTTTTATTCACAATTTGTTTAGTGTCCCAACTTTTTTGGAATCTGGTTTGTACACCAAAGTTAGTCATGGAGTTCCTCAGGGCTCAGTGCTTGGGCAAGTACTCTTTACGTTATATATGCTTCCTTCATACATCTCCTCCTTCATGTCTCTGCGTGAGTGCAGCTACAGCGTGCGCTCTCAGGACATTATTACCTGCAGTGTTCCTTCAGTGCGAACTGAACTAGGCAAAAGGGCCTTCTCCTACTCTGCTCCTGTTTCTTGGAATATCTTACAAAAAGATCTTAAGCTCTTGACCTTGACCTCTCTAAGTGGCTTTAAGAATCTGTTGAAGTCCTGGCAGGGACCAATGCAGACATGTTCCTGTTTTTAGTTTTTAGTTTTCCACATTCGCCTTAGAATCTAGCTGTTTTTTGCTACTTTTCTTTTTACTTTTTTTTTTTTTTTGCCATCCTATTTGTTAAAAAAAAAAGTGTATTACTTTTTATAACTGTTTATTGTTGTTGCTGATGTTGTTAACTGATGTTTCAGCACTTTGTTTCAGCTATGGCTGTGTTAAAGTGCTTTATAAATAAAGTTGATGATGATGATGATGTTGCTGTTGTCCATTGTTGTCATCATTCTTTGTTGAAATCATGTCTCTCTTGTAAATGAGTCCAATGTGATAATTGTTCTGTAACATCAATCAAGTACAGTTCTGGACTGAAAACAGAGGTGCTTACTGCTAGTAATGCAAGATTGGCTATTTTCTGACTATGTCACTGTTTGTTTGTGGCAGGTGGGAAAAAGCCAGCTGGACTGATCACAAAAGCATTGACGAGTTTTTTATACGGAACCTTGTGGTGCTGGATATCTTCAAGTTCACTTCGTTTCTACAACTGAAGTTTCTGCTGCACTACCCAAGGAAGTTGTCCATCATAAACTCCATGGTAAAAAACTCACTCCTCTGCCATAGAAAATGAACCACAACACGACAGCTAAAAATTAGTACAAGAAAATGTTAAATGCATCAAAAGAACCATCTAGATTTGATACATTGCTCAGGCACAACACTCCAACTCAAGTATCATTTTATTGGAAATTTTGATGTAGGAGCTCTGAACCTGCTGTGCTACAACAGTAAATCTAGGAGTGGTACAAAGTCAGCTCTCCAGTGGTTTGAGCTATTGAATCAGAATCAGAATAAGCTTTATTATCATTGCACCCAAGTACAGCGAGATTATATTCTGTACAGTCATCTGGCGAAGTGCACGTGGCTGCAGCTCCTAGGAGCGCGGCCCCTTATTAAGTTGAAGTTGTCATTGTTGTCCTGATGCATTCTCAATAATCCAGGTAGAAAAATCCAAAATAGTTCAATCTGGTCCTCTGGACATTCAAAAAACAAAAAACAAAACAAAGCAAAAAAATGTAGAAACGTTTTGTCTCTCATCCGAGAGACTTCCTCAGTCTGAGGTGCTGTATTCAGCTCAGTCTCTTAAATAGCACCTTCTCAGAGTGGATCAACCAGTTTGCTGCTGACAACCAGAACCAGCTGATCACATGCTCAAGAAGGACCATCAGCCTAACAATGGA